GCAGGAGACAAACGTGGCAGCCAGCTCCCATCCAGATCCACCGAGGAAGCGCTATGAGGAAGATCAACTCTGCTCTGCAGCGTCCTGACGAGGTACAGGCATGTCAGGAGCAGCGGGTGGGGGCCTCAGCCCCGGGGCCAGGCTGACAAGCTGCTCAGGCTTCTGCCCCTGCCGCAGGGAGAGTGGTGACCAGACTGTGAGACTCACGCAGCCATAGTGAAGGTCCGCGTGGTGAGGACCTGAGAGGCCTGGCCAACACCCAGCTACAGTGGGTCCTGCGATCTGAGGCAAGCCTTCCGAGAACACAGCCCAGGTGACAGCGTGACCTTCCCGGAGACCCTGAGCTGGACCCTCCCGGTAAAGCTGCTGTCAGATGCCTGGACCTCAGGATCTGCATGAAATGAGACACATTGTCATTAGGCCAGCTGACAGCTCACGGGTGACCCACAGGGTAACCCCCACAGGGTAACCCCACAGGGTAACCCATGGGACCAGGAAGCCATGGTGCAGCAAATAACTTTACGGTCCTTCTAGCCAGAGTATTTGTAACTGTTACTAAAAGACTGGACTGTTTCCGTAAGTGTGTGAAGTTGTGGTCACAGCAACCACACAATAGAACAGAACTGAACCCAGAGTGATCCTGCATCGTCCCCACCAACGCTGCGGTGACGAAGTCCATTCTCAGTCCCTCTGATAGAGGGGCTTCCTCTCTTTTGCCAACTCTCCACCTTTCCAAGCATGAAGTCTCTCTCCAAGGAATAGCCTCTTTCTAGCAATGTGTCCTAATATCTGAGACATCTTCTCATGAAGTCCAGCCTCCCAAATAAGTCCAGCCTCCCAAATGCTCTGTTCCACATATAGACATCCCTGATGCACTCCTTTTTTGATTTGGAACTATTTCGTGTTCTCTTGCTCTGTTAGGACAACAGCTTCTTGATCTCGGTATAGGTTTTACATGAGCACAATCAAGTATTCTGGGATTCTAATTCTTCTCAATGTTACCACAATTTCCTGTGATCCACACAGTCCAAATGCCTTTGCACAGTCAATAAAACACAAATAGACATCCTTGCTGTTCTCTTTCACCCAAGATCCATCTGCCACTGCCGATGACATCCCTAGTGCCATGGCCTCTTCTAAATCCTGCTTGTGTTTCTGGCAGTTCACTGTCAATAAAACTATTTTAATAACTTTTGGAGAATGCTCAGCAAGATTTTGCTTGCATGTAATATTAGTGATGATGTTGGATAATTTCCACATCCTGTTGCATCACTCTTCATGGGAATAAAAATTAATCTCTTCCAATCAGTTGGCCAGGTAGCTGCTTTCCAGATTTCTTGGCACAACCTGGTGAACACACCCAGAGCTGCATCTATTTGCTGAAGTGCATCAGTTCCATCAATTCTTGGAGCCTTATTTTTGGGGGGCCAATTCTTTCAGAGCTGCTTGAGCATCTTCCTTTATTACCATTGGTTCTTGATCAGATGCTGCTACCTGAAATGGCTCTACACGCTAACAATGCTAAGAACTCAAACTCAGCTCATTGCCCTTGAGCCAGAACTAGTTCACGGCTGACCCTCCAGGGTTGCCACAAATGTGTGAAACTGGGAATATGTGCGAGGTACAACAAAGCCAGGCTCAATCAAGGTGAAGTCCTCCTGTGTGCATTTTACTCAAAGGCTGTGTTAATCACACACACATAAACATTCTCTCCTTTCCTCCAATTCCTTGGGTAATATCTTGAGGTGAGTTACTGGTTCAAAGAGGATTTATCCTTGAACTCCTCCGCACACACCTGTTGAAATCGCCCTCTAGAAACCGGCGTTGTTTATACTGCAGTGAACAAAGAGAACACTGACTCCTCTCTAACCCCAGAGAAGCTGCCTCTTCTCTAGAAACTTGGCCAAAGGGGAAGACAAGACCGAGTGGCACGTGGTCTTCAATGGTTTCACGTACACGTGAAAGTTGGACAATGAATAAGAAAGACCCAAGAATTGTCTCTGAATTGTGGTGTTGGCCAAAGTACTGAATGTATCATGCACCACAACAAAACCATTAGAAACCAAATTTCATGTCTTCACTTGCTTTCCCCGTTAAGTTACTTCCTCCTAGATGGCCTTTGCTCATGTTTTAGGTGCCATACAGTCGGTTCCAACTCACAGCAACCCCATGTGCAATAATAGATTTGGAATTGGCTCAGTCACGGCCAGTGAAGCAGAATCGGAACAGATTCAAATTAAGATGTGAGTGAAGCTGAATGCTCAGTGGGAAGGAGGCAGTCACAGGCGGAAGCCTTGGAGAGGGGGACTGAGAAGTGGTGCAGCGAATGCTTCCAGAGCCTGTCTGACGCAGGAAACACCAGGACCCTGGAGAGCGAGACAAGGCAGGCGGGCAGCTGCCCCGCTTTTGAGCTGGGAGTCTTTGCTAGTTTTTGACTGGAGGTTGTTGTTAGATGTTGTAGCCTCAGTCTGTCAGTGCTGTAACACTTCCCTGAGCAGGACAGGGTCAAGGCCACGGGGACAAGGGTCAGAGAGGTCTGCCTGTGAGAATGCTGACCAGAGGCTGTCCTGACTGAGGTCTGTCAGGGAGGCAACGGTTCTAGCTGAGGGACACTTAAAGCCAGGGTTGCATCTCTCTTCCACACACCACCTGAGCTTATGTAGGGTCAAATTCATCAAAGGGCTTATGGGAGAAGACGGGCCATCTCCGGCTGTGCAACAGCTTCAGTAACTCCTGGAGGGTCAGCTATGAGTTACTTCTGACTCGACAGCAATGAGTTGGGTTTGAGTTCTTAGCATTGTTACTGAGTGCATTGCGTAACATGGGGGACAGCTAACTAAAAGGTCAGGGTTCAAATCTACCAGCCGTTGTGCAGACGATGGGCCGCCTCTTGTAGATTTAGATATGGAAACCCGAGGGCAGGCCGGCGTGAGGCGAAACCAGGCTCACAGCTCCTCACGGTTCGGATGTCCCCACAGGACCCTGAGCTTCTCGGACACCACTCTCTCCATTTCTGTGCCCTGGCCGGAAAGTGGGTCAGACTGGGCTTCCCCTGGGGTGAACAGAATGGGCCCCCCAGTGAGAAACAAGAATAACCCCACCCCAAGGGCTGAGCTGGGGTTGGAAGACACGCTGCACAATCCCTCTGATGGGATTTGGCTCAAAGCCTGGGTACAGTGAGGGGCACCTGTCCAGACGCTTCCTGGGCACCTAGCCCCACCAAAGCCCAGGTAGAGTCCTTCTGCCACTCTCACCACATCAGTTTGCTGGGCTGTGGCAGCTTCATGCGGCTGTGACGCTGGAAGCTCGGCCCCTGGTGTGTCAAATACCAGCAGTCACCCATGGTGGACAGGTCCCAGCGGAGCTTCTAAACTAAAGCCAAAGACTGCTGTCCCCCCGCCCCCGCCCCCATTGATGAGCAGTCCAGGAGCACCCTGCAGACCGTTAGGGAACGTGCTGGCCCTGGACATGCGTCAGGAGGATCAGTCACTGAAGGTGTTGTGTTTGGAGAAGCTGAGGGTCAACTGGCACTGGAGAGGTCTCCCGTGAGAAGGGTGGAAGCCACCTCCTCAGTGGTGGCCCAGGGCATGTGGGTACCCGAGAGGATGGCACGGGCTCCCTGGTGGTCCAGGATGTGCGGGTACCTGGGAGGACCCACGGCCTGGTGGCTCAGGGTGTGTGGGTACCCGAGAGGGCGCGCGGGCACCTTGGTGGCCCAGGGTGTGTACGTACAAGAGAGGACGTGCGGGCACCCGGGAGGCTGGCGCAGGACCAGGACTGTGCACGTGGCCCTGAGTCATCTGCAGCCCCTCAGTCAGGAGACAGAAACCAGAGTTTACCAAAGAAAGTTTAGTACAAAGAGTGAGGACTGCAAACGGGGGTTTCCAATAAAGGGGACATAGGTCTGAAGGAGGGCGCCCAGGGAAGGAGGACCTGCAGGGGGCGGCCCGTCCCCCAGATCCACTAAACCGTGGCCCATGCTCAGTGGGCAAGCAGGAACTGCACCCTGGGAGCCGGCTGTGCCCTAGTCAGGGGCTGAGGAGAACGTACTCTAGCGTCAGATGGGCCTTGGGCGATATCTATGTGGGCGAGGCAGTCACTGTGCGCTCAGCAGGGTCCGGACACCGTGGCCCGAGGCCCTGCAGGGCCAGGAGACAGACAGGATGCTCTAGAAGCGGTCTCTCCACACAGCGCCCGATGACGGCATGCCGCAGGTGGCTGGTGCTCTCAGAGGAGAAGTGTTCCCGGGCTCCCACTCGCGGCTGTGGAGTGGGCAGGGAAGGGCGGCCAGCAGCTGGGTCAGAGAGCTGGTGAGTGGCACCCCCCTCCCCGTGCCCATTTCCACTTTATTCAGCCAGCACATCCATCTGCCTCTGAGCAAGCCCTGACTCATGGCAGCCTGCAGCACAGAGTGGAACTGTCCCAAGGTCCCCGAGGACGTGGACCAGCTGGGGTCCCTCTCTCAGCCAGCAGCTGTGTTCAGACAGCTGGCTAGTAGCCAGGAGCTGTGACCACTGCATCACCAGGGCTCCTTCAGCAAAAGTAACGGCCTAATCGCTGTTGAGTTGGAACGGACTCACTGCTGACCCTCCAGCCGGTTTTCAGAGGCTGCAGATGGCACAAGAGGAGAGTGGACATCCTCTTCCTGCTGGTGGATTCACGTCCCCAGAGGTGTCCCCAGTGGGCACCGTGCAGCAACCTACAAACTACACGCCGGCATCCATTAGCAAAATCCAGGGCAGTCCTAATAAGGGGGAGCCGGGGGACACCCCGCAAGTCAGAATCTTGGCAGTGAGGCCTCACTGGCTCCCAATGCAAGGGAAAGGCTGCCAGCAGGTGGCCATCAATGGTGCCCAGGTGAGCCCGGCCCTGGCACCGCAGGCAGTGAGAGCTGCCTGTTGGGCTGGTGGACGCTCAGGACTGTCCCCTCAGGGAACGGGAAGGAGAGGTGCTCGCGGTGAGCAGACCAGGAGCCCGGCCGCATGCCATCCTCGCCCCGACCCTCAGAAGAGGCCGGGCAGCAGGCGGTAGGGCACGGCGGCCGTGTAGCGCGCCCAGTCCCGGCCGTACTTGCTGGCACAGCGGTGCTCGTCCCGCAGACAGCGGTGGGTCAGCAGGATGGTCATGTAGATGATGTAGAAGTAGGGCAGCAGGTGGCCGCCGCCGCAGGCCAGGCAGTAGGCCAGGCTGCCCATCAGGTCGCCCGTGTAGTTGAAGTGGCGCGCGACGCCCCAGAAGCCGGACACCAGCAGCTTGCTGTGGTGCTTCTGGCCATCGGCCGACGTGTAGGAGCACTCGATGACCTGGGGCTTCCTGCCCCAGATGAGGCAGCGGCCATCCGTGCGGCGGAAGAGGTCCTTCTGGTGGTTGGTCATCCGGAAGATGTAGTAGCCGACCAGGCCCAGCAGCAGGACAGCCATGGCATAGGGGGTGGACAGCTGCACAGGGTGGTAGACCAGGTACAGGCCCTGCGGGCGAGAGGCCAAGGTCATGGACTGCCCCCAGGCCAGCGGTCCAGCCTGCCCTGCCCGGTCCAGGCCCTCTGCTTCCCCCACGGTTTAAATTCCCCACTGACTCCATGAGAGGAAGGCGGGCAGTCCCCTCCCAGGCTGTCCTTGGAAAACCCAACGGAGGGTCAGCTGTGAGTCAGAATGGATTCAACTTTTTTCCAAGTGTCAAGTAGCCCTGGTGCTACGGTGGGTTAAGTGCTGTGCCTTCAACCACAAGCTTGGCAGAAAAGTGTGATCCCCTTGTGAGCAGGAAAGTGAGTGCCGTAGAACGCGCATGTGCATGGCTGGGCGGAAGGGAGTGTGTCAGCTTTCACTCAAACCACATTTTAAAAGAGAAAAAAGAAGACTGCAGTTCAAACCCACTGGGCACTTAGCAGGGAGAAAGGTGAGGCCGTGTGCTCCCGTCAGGACTGCAGTCTGGGGTGGGGTGGGGGACGGTGACTGAGGAAGTGGGCTGTGGCCTTAGGACCCCAGGGGCCGTTCTGCCTGTCTTCAGAGTTTCAGTGAATCAGAAACAACAGCGGCAGTGAGTTTCCCAAAGGCTGTGCCTCAGTTTCCTGGTCTATGACTAGAAGGGGCCTCCTCAGAGGACTGCTGGGGGATGGGAGGAGTGAGTTCACACCCAGGGACAGGCAGGCCGCTGGGTACCGCGGGCCGGGTCAAGAGCACCGCAGTGAGGTGGACGTTGCAGTCAAGAGACTGCAGGACCTCCAGGAGCTATGCCTACCCTTCTGGAGGGGAGCGAGTGTGCAATTGCACTGCAGTGTTAACGTCTGTGGGAATGACTGAGTGTGAGACAGCGAGAACGGGCTGTTGGGGAAATGGAAGTGATATGCTGGCTGAGCTCCAGTCCCAAAGGGAGGCAGTTCAAATGCACCAGCTGCTCTGTGGCAGAAAGACGGGGCATTGACTCCCATGTCATCCGTTACCTCTGAAAACCCGCTGGGGTGTCGGCTAAGGGCCAGGATCATTTCGGTGGCACACAACAACATGCTGGACGTGGAGTGGACACAAACCCCCGGTCAGTGAACAACACGGAGCTGTGACTCGCGATCAGATGAGGCCAGCCTGGACGTGTGTGTGTGTCCATCCACGTGACAGCCTGACCTGTGTCCCCCACAAAGACTCACACTCAGACTGGCGAAGGGGGACAGGACGGGTGTGAAGCCTGAAAGGCGGCATCATGTCAAACTGCAGTGTGCTCTGGGGTTGCATGTTCTCTGGAAGAAGCTCCAGGCTGGCCTGGGCTCACCCCCGAGCCCGCTGACCATGCTCCCGCCCCAGCCCTGCTGACCTGCAGCGTGTAAAGATACGGCAGCCACACGCAGTCTCCCCAGCCCAGGTACCACCCGAAGTGGTCGTGGCAGATGTCTATGGTCTTGAGGTACCACGTTTCATTCCAGAAAAAGTCCAGCACGTAGATGGCCTGCAAGACAGGACAACATCAACTGCCACCTTCCCTCTGGGTTGCTGGAATTCCTGGGGGGCCGGGGTTTGTGCAGGACGGGGCCACCTGACTATGGCCAAGTCCACCTTCGGGCCACCCTGTCCCTCCCGGCAGCAACTCCAGCCTAAGGCCTGAGCAGGGGCCTTTGTACGAGAACCAGGTGGGCACAAGAACCCAGAGGCTACAGAAAGAGGGGCCCCTGTGACACCCAGCAAGTGGAGCAGAAAGGTCACGCCAGTGAGGGGCTGGGTAGTCACACAGAGCACCGTCCACTGACGCAGGACACCCTCGGCCACAGGGGGAAGCCCCTGCCCATGGCACAGGACCCGCAGTGGCCCCTGAAGGGTGAAGTGGACTGCTGTCCACTTTGCAGATGGAGCAGAGACCATGCACTGCTCGTCCGTCCTCTCAGGAGGGACACCCAAGACCTGGGGGTCTGGGTGGGAAAATGCCTCCGAACCTAAAAGTTGGGTCTGACGGGGGACTGTTCCAGAGACGGGGGCTGTGATGCCAGGAGGAGTCGCAGCGATGTTGCTGGGTGTGGCATGCACAGTGGGCCACGGGGTCATGCCAGCACGGGGTCGGGAGAGAGGGGGAAGGGGCTGCGACACAAGGACCAAGGAAGCTGTGATGTCGCCGGGGCCAGCGTGCACAGCCCAGGGGTGGGAGGAACCACAGAAGGGCCACAGCTGCCACCCCCTCTGGAGAGGGGCGAGCACCCACTCATGTATCCGAGGCCCTGCAGGACACAGTCCCCAAACCACTGCACGGCCGTGAAGATGTCCCAGCAGACCAGGCTCTGTGGGGATTTCAGCAAGTGGTTTTAGGAAGCCAGTCACCAGACCTTCCTCTGTTAATCTGGAAGCCCTGCCGAACCCTGTTCCTCAGCACAGTTAACACGCACTCCTCCAGAGGAAAGGGTGGTGACCGGGCATGAAGCACACCGACGGGACTCGAACTCAGGTCTCCAGCCTGCCAAGCGTGGCCTCTGGCAATCGTGAGCCTCATCTAGCTCCATGTGTCAGCTCTCTCTGCTCCAAGCCCAGTTTGGACACTGCTGTTTCCTAAACCTGCCAGACTTTCCCGCCCCAGGGACTTGGAACAGGTCGGTACACTGCTGAGACGCTCCTTGGCCACTGTGCCTACTTGTGCCTGGTGACTCCCAACACACCCCAGAACCTGCCAAGGCGAGCCCCAAGGTGACCTGCCAGAACTGGCTTCACCTGCTGGCTCCCCCCGGGGCCACAGCCACACCTGGGACAGAGTGCCAGGATCTTCTGCTACCAGCCCACTCGCCAAGGGCAGGCTGTCGAGATGCCTCTCTTTTAAAAGCAGCTGGAGTTGTGAGGAGCCGCTGGCAGCCCCAGTGTCTAAGTACTGGGTTAACAGAAAGGCTGTGGGTGTGAGCCCACCTTGAGGTGCCTTGGAAGAAAGGCCTGGCTAACTGCCCAGGAACAGCCACTGTCTCTGAGAGCCCCGCAGAGCCACGCTCCTCTGCACACACAGCCCCAGAGTTGGACTCAAGGGCCATTTGGAAACCCTCAGTGGCCTTGGCCAGCATACCTGCAGGACATTGACCAAGACCATGGAGTTGGTCACCTGGCCATGCAACTCCTTCTGTTTGGCTGCAAAGGACAGGTTGATGAGGGTCCAGGCGACGATGCCAGGGCGGCCATTGAAGAACAGCTTGAAGTCGAACCACTTGCCGATGCGGGGATTAAACTCAATGCCCATCATGTAGTTATAGAAGAAATTGCCCGTGAATTTGCTTGAAAGAAAGAGAAAACATGCACACTTGTCAATGGTCCTCACATGGAACAACAAAGAAAAAGTAAGACAGAGAACTGATGCTTCTCGACTGCAGCAGAGTGCGCTGCCCGGACTGTGGACCACAGAGGACGGACACGCCAGCCTTGGAAGAGGACAGACACTCCAGCCTCGGAGGAGGAGGGCCAGAGAGCTCCTGAGAAGAGGGGAGGGCAAGACTTCAGGCAGAGCATCAGGGAACACTGACTGGAAAGTGAAGGTCACTGGAAATGGGACATCTGACAAGGACTGACACACAGCCCACAGTGGACTCAAGTGGTGCAGACCCGGGCAGCACCCCATCTGTTGTACACGAGGTCACGATGAGCTAGAGGCCACGTGACGGTCCCTACCCACAGTCAGGGCACGTTCCTCGCCATGCTGCCCAGCTTCACTCCTGGACAGTGCTCAGCTTGGCTGGCGCCTGAGCGGCCGGGACGAGGGCAGAGCGGACGGCCAGGAGCAACTTGGCTCCGACACCCACACTGGCTCACTGTGCAAGCAGCCGGGTACAGCTGTGTCAGCCGGGGATGGCGGAGGGACAGAAACTGCTTAGAACCTGGGAGTTGGCACCTCCAGCTGCCCTCGGCCACCTGGGACCCCTGGCACATGGAGCAGGGGGCCTCAGGACTGGCCCTGGGCGAAGTCTACACTTGGGAGGATTTGCAGGAGCTCAGTCTCCCGAAGCAAACAGAGCGAGGAACCGTACAAAGTGCACACTGGGCTGGCCGGGCCTCACAGTGACCTCTGGCCGGACAGGCGACTTGACACCCCCTCCCCCCGTCACCTGATAAAGATTGGGTTGTGTCCCCCAAAGTGTGCACTATTAATGCCAACCCTACATCGTGGAGAAGCCCTGGGGCCACAGCAGTTAAAGCTCTTGGCCACTAACTGAGAGACTGGTGGTTCAAAGCCACGGGCAGCTTTGCAGGGAAAAGCGGTGGCCATCAGCTTCCTTAAAAAAATCACAGTCCAAGAGACCCAGAGGGCTGCTCTGCTTCAGCCTCAGGGTCACATGGGGTTTGGTTTGGGGTGCAACTATGCTTTTAAGTCCACGTGGGAATGCAGCTTTTTTATAAAGCAAATGAGGCACAATCAGGGTCGAGTTGTCACTCTCTGCTTGAACTTGACTCAACTTTACAACAAGTTCACTTGACAACTCAGCTCCCATGCCTCTGAGTGAGAACCACCTCCTAGCTGACCCTCCAGTGGGTTTTCAGAGCCTGTGAATTATCCAGGAGATTGCTCATTTCTTCTCCCTCGAGACATTTGATGGATTTGAACTGCCTGCATTTGGGCTGGCATCACAGCTAGTTACCGCTAGGCCACCAGAGGCGTAGGATAAGCAAGGAAGCTCAAGCAGAGGGATGACACTGAGAAGGGCATTGCCAGGAACAGAGGAGGCTCCAGGAGACCAGCACCTTCCCCAAAGCTGAGAGAGCAAGCCTTCCCCACGGGCTTCCCCCGCATTCACACATCCAGCCTCCTCAAACCAGCCTCTCTGCTACAGATCACACCTCAGTGTTCAGGAAACAAACATCCTCACAACCAGACCAAGAAACGACACCTGACAACAACTGTCAGAACAAAAACCCGTTAGCCCCACCCCTGGGGTATTTCCATGACCACAGAACCTAGACAATGACTGGCCATCTAACACCCCGAGAGAGAAGAGGGGAGTCCAGGATCTCATTTCATGGGGATCCACAATCAACACCCAGACTAGCAAAAGTCAAGAAATCCACGTACAACAAAAGGGGAAAAAATACATTTTGAAAAAGAAATCAAATGGCCTCTTGCCCTGGGCAGGATGTTAGCGCACACGCTAAGGTGGGCCTGACCCAAGCGGGCGTGCTTCAGCTGCTTCACGTGCCTGTTCAAGCTGGATCATGAGTAAGGAAGCCGGGAGAAGCGCCGATGCCGCCCAAGAGGCTGCGTATGTTGTGGCTGCCAGAGGGACAGATCTGACGTGGAAGGACAGCCCCAGAGCCTGCATCTCACGGACGCTGGGCATGTTCACAGGAGGAGCCAGTCCTCGGCGTGAGACATGATGCTTGAAACAGCGGAAAGTTGGGGGTGTGGAAGGAGGGCGGGACGCTCACAGGAGAGGCTGACACCGGGACTCCAGCGGTGGTCTTTGGCTGGCGGAGATGAAGACGGCGCAGGACGGTACGAGGTTTCACTCGACGTGCACAGAATCCCATGACACAGCGGCCCCTAACAGCACACACCCGTGAGCTTCCTGTGACATCAGCACTAGATAGTGAAGACACTGTCCGGCCACACAGCACCAGTGGCCGGAGAACTCGTGACCTTCGAGAGAACCCACACAGAGACCCTCGGCGGGCAGAGCCTGCGACAGACACAGGGGAACTGCCGTGTTGATGACAACGAATTTTCATGTCTACTTCCTCCCGTCACGATCAATAAAGGGGGAAGACACAAAATACACAAAGTCCACAACGTTGTTAGGTGCCAGTGAGTGACCCCGTGAGCAGACGAAAGCCTCGTCCTTCCCGCCGCCGTCCCCACGGGCTCCAGCCCACTGCAGCGGGCACTATGTCCATCTCACTGAGGGGCTTCCTCTCCCTCTTTGACCCCCTACTTTTCCAAGGATCAGCCCCTCCTGACAGCTCGTCTGGAGTGTGTGAGATGAGGTGTCACCACCCTGGGCTCTAAGGACCAGCCAGGTTGAACCTCCTCCCGGGCAGATGTGTTTGTTCTCTTGCCAGTCCATCGGGTTGTTCGATACTCTCCGCCAACACACCTCAAAAGCACTGATTTCTTCAGTCTTCCCCATTCACTGTCCAATTTTCACGTATATGGGAAGTAAGTGAAAATAGTAGTTTGGGGTCAGGCACACCTTAGTCTTAGTTTGTGATGATACAAAAAGCACCCAAAGCATTTGTCACCTCACGGTGACAGCACATGTGTCCGAGCCTAACCAGACTCCACAGGGCTTTCAGTGGCTGATTTCTCATAAGTGGATCGATCATCAAACCTTTCTCCTGAGGCACCCTGGTGGACTAGAACCTCCAACTTTGGGTAACAGCCAAGTTCTTTACTGTTGACACCACCCAAGGCCTCCCGAAGGGTTACAAAGTGGCGAAGTGATTCATGACACACAAGAGAAAAGCACCATCCAAAGACCTCTTCAGAATCCTGGCGTGGAGTTCCAGGACGCAGCCCACGGGGCTTGGGGGTTCTCTAGGCTAAAACAGAAGCACCTCGAGAACAAGAATCTTATTCCAGAACATCTCACAGGAGGAGTCTAATAAAACCTGTTGAATAACAGGTGGATGGGTGGTTGCCCAGCTGCCCCACCTGGAACTTCCGTGAGAACGCTTCATCCTGCGAGCTTCTTGGGAAGCTGCCACATGGAAACTGCCGAGATAACAAGATCATTATCCCTTAAGATCGCTCCTGGTGGGGTTAAAGCTCGTGAGGGAGGAGATGCTGCTGCTGCCCAGACAGGATCTCTTTCCAGTCTCCAGGCCCAGGGGAAGCGGTGGTGGCATAGTTGTCAGGGGCTTTGTGCTGCCAATGGCAAGGAAGTCTGACCCCCTCATTGACTGTGAGAGAGAGAGAGGTAAATTCCTTCCTGGTGACCTCCAGCCTCCCCTAAACCTCGGATGGTCAGTTATGAGTCAGGCTCAACTCAGAGGCAGTAAGTGTGGGTTTGTAAGACCAGGAAAGGACTCAGTCATCAGAGACTTGGCCACCTTTCCAGTAACAGTGATCAAAAGAGGGAAATGTGAAAAAGAATGTCAAATTCTCAACAGACAATGGACCCTTTGGGGCCACTGAGGCTGAATGACACCCTAAAAGCAACATCCTGAAGTCACTGTGGAACCAAATAGTGATTTAGATAAATCAGAAAAAAATGCCTTGGGCATGGTATTCTTTCTGAGAATGATCTGTTCTCAAAAAACAGAGATCCAGTTGATGATAGAAACTCAGAAGCTACACCAGTATCTTCAACTATAACAACCATTGTAAAAATGGTAGAGGACCATGCACTGTTTTGTTTTACTATGCATGGAATCACAGTGACTTAGAATCCATCATTGCTCCCTAACTCCATCAGGGCTCTGCACAAAAGAAGTAATTTGACCAGTTCATTTTAGCAATAATTGAAGATGACATTTTGATCTTGAATATTTTAAAGGATGACTGGATGATCTTTGAAATTTATTATTATAATGCTTTGTATTTTATAGAATTCAAGATCTTGTTCACCTTTAGAAAAGAACAATAAAAAGATAAAAATAAAGCTGATAAAACAAACAAAAAAAAGAAGCTTAGAGGGCAGTGAATTTGCGGTGATGTTGGTGAAACAATTTAGAACAGAAGATAGAGAAAGGGGACCCAACGGGCACAAATGTACGTGATGTCACTGAATTATAAAGGTAGAAATGGTGGAAGTGGGATATAGTCACCGAGAAGAGCAGAGAAAGGGAATCCCCTCCCCAGGGTCTAACAAGTTTATGTGTTAAGGGACTCTTGACCGTGATCTCCACGAACTGTAATCCTGATGGATCCTCGAACCCAAGACAGAAGAGAAAGCAATCGTGGCCACATGGGGTGTTGGTCCCAGCCTCGCCTGAGCACTCACCAGTCTTTGGCATTGGTGGGGAACAGGTAGCCCTTGATCATGGCGAAGGTGGAGACAACATAGCCCAGGATGTTGGTGCACCACAGCAGCGGGATCCAGTTGTCGAAGATGATGGTCGGGGAGAAGCAGTGCAGGACGTAGGCGTTGGCAAACCAGAGCAGATGGGTGAGGAGCCACGCCTGCAGCCCATTGACCTCATACTTGTTGACCACGCCTGCAGAGACAGCACTCGATGTCAGGCTGCCAGGACCCCTCGCAGCCCAGGGCTGACCTGCCTCCTGGCCTCTCTGGCTGCGCCCAGACCCCTCCCTAAAGAGAAGGGTCAGCTTCACTGAAGTCACAACAAAGGTCTCTGGGAAGCCCAAACTGTTCGTGATTGGCTGCCAATCACAGGTCACTCTGAGGACTAAGGTGCACCTGATCTAATCCACGGTATTTCAAATGCCTCAGTGGCCTCCTGGTAAGAAGCTGTGTTGCAAACACAAAGGCATAGGGTTCGAATCCACCAGCTGCTCTGCGGGAGGAGGGGCAATCTCTTCCTGTCCCATTTACTGCCTCTGAAAATCCACTGGAGGGTCGGCTGTGGGTCAGTTCCGACTTGACGATACACAACAACGTATGCCTGAGACACATGTCTGAGAAAGCTGGACAGTGAATAGAAAGACCAAGAAAGAAAGGATGCCGTTGAATGATGGTGTTGGCGAAGCGTGTTGCCAGAAGAACTAAGAATGACTAAGAGTGTGTCCTGGACGAGGCTCAGTCGGCGTATCTCGCAGGAGAGAGGGCGAGAGACGTCATCTCCGGGACGCTGAGCGTATCATTAGCAGGCTCCCAACCCCGGAGAAGGGCGCAGCTTGGTAAAGAAGGGGGTCAGAGGAAGAGCAGATGCACCATGAGCCCACGGCCAGCCAGGACCGTGATGGGGGCACTGCACTGGCAGTGCTGTTCTGCTGGGCACAGGTGAGTCAGGGCTGTGGGTCAGAACCGACCCGATGGCACCGAACCACCACCAGCTAAAAGTCGGCAATCTGAACCCATCCAGCAGTGTCATGGAAGGAAGGGCTGGACATTTCCTTCTGTAAAGTTTACAGAGAAGGAAAACCCTCCGGGGTGGTCGTCATATGAGGACCTGTCACTGTTGTTGTTGTTGTTGTGTACCACTGAGTCACCAATCCATAACCGACACTCCGGCGGGTTTTCAGAAGCAGTAAATCACCTGGGCGGGGACTGCCCACCTTTTTTCCCACAGCGTAGCTGGGGGATTCGAACGGAGTGCCTCTGGGATTACAGTGCAGCCTTTGCCCCCAGGATGCCAGAGCTCCAATACGGGGACCAGGTATCGGAACTCAGCAGCACTGGGCTTGGTGTGAGGAGGTGACAAGGTGGGGAGGACATTCCACACGGCTGGCTGAGAACGTGACTGTCCTGGGAGGAGGAAGGGGTGGCCAGGGAGGGAAGGCCGGTGGGGTCTCCCCTGTTGCTGGGTCACCACCACCTGTAGAAGATTCAAGCCGCTGAGGCCGATAGTACAGACGCGGAGCATGGACTCCTGTAGGGTCCTGTGTTCCTGTGACTGTTGGGGGACCTGGCCCCGCCCTTGGATGGGGACCTTGCTGCAGACAGCCCAGGAAGAAACTGACTCAACACCTCACTGTCCGACATGAGGCCACGTCCTTGCAGGTTCCTGTGAAGAGGAACAGCCCAGGAGGCGGACAACCTGCTGAAGACCAGTCCACCCCACAGAGTCCTGGGAGTTGGGGACACACAGTGCTCTCCACAGGAAGTCACCCCAGCAGCCTGATAACAGCATCCAGCAACAGACTGGGGAGCACTAGGCTGACGGCCACCCCTTCTCCACAGAACCAGCACCTGGGATGGTCCCCGACAGAAGAGCAAAACCAAGTTCCAGCCCCCAGTGAGCGTCTCTGGGGAGAGGACCGTGGGTCCAGATGGGTCCTGCAGCCAGGGTGGGCACATAACAGCTGGACATGTGGGCATCAGGGTGGATGGGGGCCACAGACAACATGCCAGGTTACCTGCAGGCGTCACCGCCCCCTCCTGGACCCCTCCGACATAGCCTGGCAAGATCTTGTGACAGAAGTCAGGAAGCAGCGAGTACAAGATGACCTGCAACACAGGCAAAGGGTCAGGTGGGGGATGTGGCCCGAGACAGGGCAGCACCGTCCCAGCCCTGTATCAAGGGGGGTGACAACTCCTAGACGGCAGTGCCCACACCAGAAAGTGGTGGTGATGTTGACAGGTTCCACACGCCATGGAACCACACTGGACACAACCAAGCGCGGTCTGGCTGCACGGTCCCCAGGCCAGCTGCGTGCTGCACGGCACCTTCACCAGCTGGCTTTCAGCAGTTTCCCACCAGGACCCCTCCTGGTCTGTCTCTCCCTGAAGCTCCCCTCAAAGCACTGATGGGTGGTGGCCTCGCGTGAGGTGTCCGGCCGGGAACTGAACCGGTTCTGTCGCACGAGATAGGACAATGAGTGGGCTGCTTGTTCCAGAAGAGACAGTAGTTCCTGGCGTGTGACCATAGGGTCTGTCCCCTCACTCAAGAAGTCCCTGGAAGGGGCACTTGTTTTTAACCTAAAGCACCAACATTCTCCCCAAAATCTCACTCATCCTATCACAGAACTCAGTCCCCACCCCCTGTGCGATAAAGCCCATTTGTTATCATTCACAGATGACAAAATCCGCCCTCTTACAGCCCAGTCGGGAGGCTTTGATTGCCACATGGTGAGGACAACTCCAACACCATCTCGTCCCTTAAAACCTGTCCCCGCCTCTCCTCCTGTACCTGTTAGGTGCCCTCATAACAGCCCCATCACGACAGAGAAATCTGCCCCATCCCACAATCTCTGCTGTGCTCACAGCCAGCGTGCCAATCCAGCTCAGTGAGGGGCTCTCCTGTCCTTCGCGGACCCTCTTCCCCAGGGACAGGCCCCCACCACCCTCACCTCCAGGGAGCACCCTGGCTGTGTCTCTTCTAAGACCGATTTGTTCTTCTAACACTCCGTGGGCTCTTGGCCAGCACTGCAATGCTAAGGCATCAACTCACTATTTTTTGTCCAACTTTCACATGAGTATGAAACAACTGAAAATATCTCTGCTTGGGTCACCAAAGTGATATTTAGCATTTTAGAGCTCCTTGACTGCCAATCTGTCCAATGCAACACATCTTTTGATTCTTGACTCCTGGTACCAAGGTGTTGATTATGGATCCAAGTAAGATGAAATCGTTGACAACTTCAGTCTTTGGTCCATTTACCATGACATTGTGTTTTGGTCTAATATACCTTCTGTTTACAGATTTGCCTATTTGGACACGAGATGGAAGTGTGTAACGCGTGGCCTTTGATGACCGGCTTCTTTCAGTCAGTGCCATGTTTGAACAGGGTCGTCCCATGCCGCAGGGCTTCATTCCTTTTTCTGGCTGGGAAGTCCTCTGTTGTACAGATGGCCCTCATTCCAGCTCATGGATATTTGGGTGTTTCGCACCTTTTATGATAATGAATAATGCTGCACCAGGCCCCTTTCACAGGAGTCCTGGTGACTCAACAGAGCGTCTAATGGAAAGGCTGGTGGTGGTTCAAACCCAGTAGCTCTGTCTTGTAAAGATTACAGCTCAGAAAACCCTGAAGGGCGGCTTCAGGTTGGGGAGGGCTGCCAGTGAGGGGGCCCCAGGTGACAAGGACACTATCTGTTAACTGAAGAGCCACAGGTCTGGTCACACAGGGGTGCCACAGAAGGAGGCCTGGCCACTGACCAGAAGCCATTTTTATACAATGAGGCCCTGGGGGCAGGGGCCAAGATGGGCCCCAGCCTTCTCTGGGGGCTAGGGACCAAGACTGGGGACAGGAGCCAAGATGGGCCCCAGCCTTCCCTGGGGGCAGGGACTGAGAATAGTCCCAGCCTTTCCCGTCTCTGTTGGAGCAAATCCCAGTTAGCCTGCTCCCAGCTCTGTTTCCCTGGGAACAAGGAATAATGAAAACAGCCTGTCCTTGGTGAACCTGGAGGCCAGTGAGTGGTCAGAGCAAAGCAAGGACGTCCTTGACCAGGGCTGTGACACTCACAGAACTTGGCCTTGCTGCGTGGCATCTCCTGTAACCATGAACGCCCCGCTGGGGCACTTTCCAACTGGCCGCTACAAGACAGGACCTGGTTATATGTGAGGCTGCCCCGTGTCAGCCCTGCCCTCCCACATGCCCCTGCCCCTTAGGCAGCAAGTCCCTGGTAGGGCTGGGGACCCGTCAGGAGAGTCGGGAGTCCCCTGAGATGTGTCCAGCATGCACGCTAGCAGGTGGTGTTACTCACCCAGCACCTGCTGACCAAGCTAAGCACATCGTCTGTCCAGGGCCCCCGCAGTGTGGAGGTCCATCCAAGTCAGGATCTCACTTCCCAAGCGAACAGCAAGGACGACACCAACAGGAGGGAGCCCTGGAGGCTCCGTGGTTAAGCGCCCAGCTGCCACCTGCAAGCCTGGAGGCTTTAACGCCCCAGCTGCTCCGCGCACCCAAGGCCTGGTGATCCACTCCCATAAAGATCGGCCCTGGTCCCACTGAGCATGCGGACACCCAACGGGCCCCTGTGCAACAGAACGAGGTGCTGCTGGTCCACCACTAGCCACTGCCACGTCCAAAGCCATTGTTTCAGCCACTGGGCCGATCCACTTCGTTCAAAGTCTTTCTCTTTTCCATTGACCTTCCGCTTTACCAAGTGGAAGTGGCCCTTCCTGGTGACATGGCCAAAGCATCCAATATCACGCTCAACATCTTTGTTTCTAAGGAAGATTCTGGCTACAATCACCAGAAGTTGGATGTGCCCATGCTTCAGGACTTGTGGTATATTCGATATTCTGCCCCAACATCACACCTTCAAGGCTTCAGTTCTGAGTTGGTCTTTCTATATTTAAGGCACAGCGTAGGCTGGTGGATTTTGTGGTCTCAGAGTTTCTCAACAAACAGGCAATACAAAAAACACCTGTGGAGGCCAAGTGCTTCCCAGAGGCGCTGAGCCAGGCCCATCAGGAGAACGTGGGGTTAAAAACGAGTTCTGCTTCCAGCAATGTTCTGTGTGGGATCATCAGGTGCCGTCAAGTCCAGTACTATTCACAGTGACCCTGTGAACAGCAGCTCTGAGGCCCGCCCTGTCCTGGGCCGTCTGCACCATCTGACACACCCGAGGTCATTGCTGCAGTCACATCTCGTAGAGGGTCTTCCTCTCCTTCACCATCCTCCACCTCTCCCAGCACGATGTCTCCAAGGAACAGCCTCTCGTTACAACACACGTGCCGCACAGGGGACTGAGCTTTGCCATCCTTGCCTCCAGCAGCACGCAGCTGCACCTGCTCTAAGACACACTCCTTTGTTCTTTGGGCCGTGCACGCGGTGGTCAGCACTGCTCTCCAACTCCGTAACTCAAAGGCATCAATTCTTCTATCACCTTATCCACTGTCCACCTCTCCGATGCATAGCAAGTGACTCAAAAGACTATGGCCTGAATCAAGTGCACCTTAGTCTTAAATCTACTATCATTGCTCCTTGATAGTTTGGAGAGGTCCCTACCAGAAGACTTGCCCAGTGCAGTATGTCTCCTGATCTCCTGACTATCGGTACCAAAGCTACGGACTGCTGATGCAAGAAAGAGGAAAGCACTGACAGCCTCAGTCCTTTGTCCGTCTGTCATGATGTTCCCTTTTGGCCCAATGGTGAAGCCCTGCTTCACGTAAGGGGCAACTGACAATATCACAGGTAGGTCAGCAGTAAAAATGACAGCCCAGGACCTCCCATGGGTGGTTCTACTCTGTCCGATCGAGCTGCTGTGAGTCAGAATGCACCACACGGCACACAGCAATCCCAGAAGGAGGGGTCATCCCACCCAGCGTGGACCCCCTACAAGGATGGCAGGGGCTCAGGGCATACAACCACCCCAACAGGAGGGGCCATCCCACCCAGTATGCTCCCTCAGCAGGATGGCAGGGGCTCAGGGCACACAGCAATCCCAGCAGAAGGGGGTCTCCCACCCAGCGTGCCCCAAGCAGGATGGCAGGGGCGCTCACCTGGAAAGTGACCCACGTGGCATAGAGCTGGGCCGCTTCCTTTGTCACCGGTGGGGTTTTGGCCCAGATGTCGGCGAGGTGAGCTCGCCCGGCGACGATGTCCATTACAGGCGCCGTCAGCGAGCAGCTGTACTGGTCACACGCCATGATGAAGTAGTAGACGATGAAGGGGGCAAACAGCAGCAGGAAGATGACACTCGCCAAGGAGAACCAGTCCACCTCCCTGCAAGGCGGGCAGCGGTCACGCGGGGGCGCACCAGCCCTCAAAGCGCTTGTCCGCTGTCAGCGCCAAGGCCCGCCCTGCCCGGAGAGGCCACACCCAGATAGAGAGATGAGAGCTAGCTAGCTAGATAGATAGATAGATAGATAGATAGATAGATGATAGATAGATAGACAGATAGAGATATAGTTGTTGCTGATTGCCTTCAAGTCCAGCACAATTCATAGTGACCCTATGAACAAAAGGCCTGAAGCCTTTTCACAACTATCGACATTTATCAAAGTTCATAGTTTCCAGAGGCATGTTGTTTCGAAGTGGATAGTTAAATACGTATATATGTTTATACATATAGTTACATATAGTGTTATATATATATAGTTGTGTACCATCCAGTCATAACCAATCCCCAGCTCACCCTCCAGCAAGTTTTCAGAGGCAGTAGGTCACACAGGAGGAGACCGCCCATCTTTCTCCACAGAGCAGCTGGTGGATTTGAACTGCATGCCTTTGGGTTGGCAGCCCAAGCCCTTACCACTCAGCCACCAGAGCTCCTCCCTATAGTAACCTTAGCAAAGGGAAAAAGTCAGGTAACTGTTAACTCCAGGAAAAACAAAAGCCATACACGGGAGAAATGTCACCACAGGACATCGTTCACCTCACAGAGCGCGCAGGGTCCAGAATGCAGACATGGGAGCCCCTCCCTGCCTCCATGGCCCCCAGCCCTGCAGGTCTGGGCTGTGGAGTGGAGCACATTCAGCCTTGACCAAGGTCCCTCTGATCCACAGTAGAGTGAGAACCAGGGCAGCAGGATCCAGTGGCGTCGTGCGCCCATCACAACCCACGGTGGCTCTACGCGGGAAGAGTACTACAGTGCAGTAAGATCTCACGGGCTGGCTCTTTGGAAGGAAATCACCAGGTCTTTCTTCTGAGGCACCTCTGGGCGGGCTCAAACCTACAACCTTTCACGCAGCCCTTGTGACCAACCAGGGACCCTGGAAGCACCAGCCATTCCTCATGGTCTACACTGTTAGCAACAGTAGTGTTTATGTTTCTTCTTCTTTTTTTTTTTAATACCTTACTTTATAAATTGGGAGGTTGTACCGTCGGGTCACTGTGACTCATAGTGATCCCGTGCACAACAGCCCTGAGACCTGCTCTATCCTGTGCCAACTTTACCGTCTCTGGCACACCTACCCTCATTACTCCAGTCACTGCATCAATCCATCTCATTGATTCATTCCCTCTCTCTTTCGCTGTGCCTCCACCCTTCCAAGCATGATGTCCCTCTCCAAGGACTGGTCCCTCCTTGCAACATGTCCAAAGTATGTCAGACGAAGCCTCAGAGTACTTGCCTCTAAGGAACAGCCTGGTTTAACGCTCTTCAGAATGAACCTGTTTGTTCTCCTAGCAGTCCATGGTATATTCAACACTCTTTTCCAGCACCATAGCTCAAAGGCATCAATTCTCCTTCCATCATCCCTAGACATTGTCCAGCTCTCTGACGCATAGCAAGCAACTGTGAAGAGTATGGCCTGGATCAGGCACATTTTAGTCTCCAGACTGACGTTGCTCTTCAGTACCCTGGAGGGGTCCCTGACAGCCGACTTCCCTAATGCAATTTGATTTCCTGGCTGCTGGTGCCAAGAGTGTTGACTGTGAAGCCAAGCAAACTAAAGCTGTGTACAATCTCAATCTCTTCACCATCCATCCTGATGCTGCCAATCGGCCCAGTGGTGAGAATCTTTGTTTTCTTGATGTTGAACCTCAATCCATATTGAAGGCTGCAGTCCTTGACCTTCTGCAGCAGGCGCTTCAGGTCCTCCTTAGTTTCGGCAAGCAGGGTTGAATCATCTGCATAAGGCAGACTGTTGTTGAATTTTCCTTCAGTTCCTCCTCACAGAGCCCAGCCTCCCAGATGATCCATTCTGCATTTAGTTTGAAAAGGTATGGGGACAGAATACATCCCTGGTGTACACTCTTCCCAATTTTGAACTATGCAGTGTTTCCTTGCTCTGTTCTGACAACCGCCTCCTGGTCTAAGTGTAGGTTTTGTGTAAGTACAATCAAATGTTCTGGGATTCCCATTCTTCTGAGTCAGCCATAGTTTGTTGTGATCCACACAGTCAAAAGCATTTGCATAGTCAATGAAACACACATAGACATTCTTCTGGTATTCTCTGTTTTCAGTAAAGGTCCATCTAATATTAGCTATAATATCCCTAGTACCATGGCCTGTTCTAAACCCAGCCTGCATATCTGGCAGTTCTCTGTTGAGATAATGTTCCAGTCATTTTCAGATAATTTTCAGCAGAATCTTGCTTGCTTGTAATATTAATGATATTGTTCAATAAGCTCGACAATAAGAAAACTAAATAATCTAACTGGTGCATAAAACCCCCAGGCCCAGAAGCACTTATTCAGACCAACTACTTCAAGGCACTTTGGTGGCTTAGGGATAAGGAGCTGCACTCCTGGCCCAGAAGAACCTAGTTCGAATCCACCGGCTCCTCTGCTGGGGAAGGATGGGCAGTCTCCTCCCATGCGGTTTACTGCCTCCGCCACCCCGCTGAAGGGTCAGCTCTAACCTGATGGTGCCTTAGCAAAACCAAGTTGAAGGGGCAAGTGGGAAGAGGCGGGGTCCTTACCAGGCCCGGCCCCACTGGCCCTGAGACGCAGCCCTGCCGTCAGAGGCGCCGTTCTTGGTCCTGGCAGCCATTGGGCCCTGAGGGGAGATGAGAAACACTGAGTGGCAGGGTGAAGTGCAGGTGCCCAGGCCTGACGGGCAGTGTCCAGGCAGGTGAGAGCCAGTGCACCACAAGCCTGCAGTGACCTCCCGCCCAGCCTGCCCACTGCGCCCCGGCTCCTCTCAACCCGCTCTTCAAACTGTGGGGGACATGCTGCTTACCTGTAAACCAGAACTCTGAGCTTCACATCCCTTCCTGTCCTGGCTCCTGCCCCTCCGTCCCCTGCCCCTCCCTCCGCTGCCCCCTCCGTCCCCTGCCCCTCCCTCCACGGCCCCCTCCCACACTCTGCTCCGGGGACCAGCCCACCAGCCCATAGCCAGCAGTCTGTTCAGACGCACCGCACCCCTGCAGGAGGAAGCCCCCAAGTACGTTAAATGTTGGGCTGATAACCTAAAGGTCGGCAGTGTCAGCCCACCAGCCTCTGCAAGGGAGAAATATGAGGCAGTCTGCTCCCGTTAAGACTGTGGCCTCGGGGTGCAGGGGAGGCTGCTGAGAACACGGGGAGGCAGCGAGGGGACGCAGGGGAGGCCGCTGAGGGGATGCAGGGAAGGCCGCGAGGGGACGCAGGGGAGGCCGCTGAGGGGATGCAGAGGAGGGCCCCGAGAGGTGGAAGAATCTCGTGCTAGGGGGTAATCTTCATGAGATTGATTGATGCAGACTGGCCGGAGGGCTCGAACCACTGACCTTCTAGTTCACGGTGTTTGGCTTAACCATTGTACCACCACGTGCAGGAGGGATTGTACTGATTGTGATGAGGGTTAATCCATTCACCCTGAGACACTGGCCTCTCCTCCCGCCCTCACGAGAAATGCCCCCGTTCTCACAGGAGACCTCCTTGACCAGCCGACTAAGATGACCAGAGGCCAGGTTCCAGGCCATGGGTCAGGGTGTTACTGGAAGTGACTTGTTCTCTCTAATGTGTGTACATGTCCAATGTCTGCAATAGAACGTAAGCTTCAAGCAGCCAAAACCAGACAGGGGACAAGGACAGCCTCAAAGAAGACGGTCAGCTGGCCAACAACACACAGACCCGCTCAGAGATCATTAGCCATGACAGAGTGAATCAAAACAATAAGATATTATCTCGTGTTGGGTGGCGCTCCCCTATTAAAACAAGCTTGGAAGCAGGAGTGGCATGCACTTCCGAAATAGCTTGCCTCCGGAAACACTATCAACTTGGAGAAATGATGAAAGTTATACAAGTGTTCAGGTCTTTCGTTCATAGGGTGGCTATGAGTCATCCATCACTTGACAGTTCTTATCAACAACAAAAGCAAAGTTCAAAACCCCAGAAAACCCAGACCCTGGTGAGGGTGTGGGGAGAGCGAACCCTTCACTCACTGCAGGTGGGGCTGCCCGTGGAAGGACCACGGTGGAAACAGTATGTTGTTGTTGATAGGTGTCGAGTCAGCTGTGAGTCCTAACGGCCCCGGCAACCATGGAGCTGAGCCCCGTCCTGTCCTGTGCCATCCTCGTTATCTCTGATGTACTTGAGCCCATTGTTTCTCCCACTCTGTTGAGAACTTCATCTCTTTCTCTGGCTCTCCACCTGTTCAAGCATGATGTCCTTTCTGAAGGGCCAGCTCCTCCTACCCACATGCCCGGAAGACAGGACTCCCTTAAGAAGCTGTAAATGGCAAAGCCGTGAGGCCCAGCCTCTCACCGCCGGGCATGAACCCAAGATCCACAAGAGCCCCGACAAGAGTGGACACGTGCACCCCTGCTCATCACAGTAGGTAGAAATAAACTATGTGCCCTCAACAGACACGTGGCCTCTGCCACAGCAGGGTGCCTCAGGGCGCTTGACTGGCAGGGTCAACCGGCGTCCAGTTCTCCGGCCCCTGGACTCTGTAACACGTGCCTGAGAAGGGCAGAGGCCGAGGGACTGAGGATCCAGGGAGCAGTGAGGTGGCAGAGCTGGACACTCTAGTCCTGCCACTTCTTTCTTGATGGTCAGGATGTCCCCTCTCTACTCTGCTCCTGGCTCCTCCTAGTTGGATGGCAGAACTGGCCAATCCTCTGCAAGGAGTCTGTAATCTCATTTGCATCGCTCCACCCATCCCTCCCAGGCACTGTGTGCACTTTATTTGTATTCTCAGAAGACTGTCCAATACACATCCTTTGCATCGTCCCACCCAGTCATGGTGTGAGAGTCGGAAAGACTATGGCTAACCAAACACAAAACCAAAGCCCCTGCCACTTAGTGCCCCTCAACACGCCTGAGGGACAGTGTGGAGTTCCGCCTCCGGTGTCCAGGACTGTAAATCTTCACGTACGCCTCATCTTTCTCGGGGGATTAGCCCACAGAGAGACTGAGGCTGGAAAACCCAGATGAAGTAACAGCCAAATCTAAGTATCTAACACTCTGGATGTGGACACGCATACCCTCAGGACTAGGTGTGGGAAGGCCCTCTAGGCTGTGCCAGGGGAGAAGGAATGGGAGGTATTACAACAGTCAGCAGAAATCTCTTGAGCTGATTTCACGTCCATTCACCACGCGTCCTCTCTTGCTCTGTCCCATGGACTTCTCCATGAAGGAGAGTGTAAATCCACCTCAAGGAGCCAGGCCACAGCAGCACCGACGGCGGGAGCACCCAGCTGTGGGGTCACCATCAGGGCCCAAGGCCTGGACCCACAGGGCTGGGACGTGCTTACCTCCAACCTCAGTGAGGGGTGCCTCAGCAGAACAGAACGTTCCTTCTGGAACTGGTTCCCTGAACTCTCCAGACTCTTCTGTCCCCAAAGGTCTGCTGGATTCTTCTCAAGCCACTGAAGGAAGTCCTATGAAGAGAAATGGGTTGTGCAGAGTGACACACAGGCTGGAAGACAGATGAGGATTCAAAAGTATTTATCCAAGGCCTGCTGCTGGGGGGATGCAGAGAGGCCCGGCCCAGGTCTGCGGGACCCCATCTTATCAGTGTCCTGCTGTGCTGTCCCTGACTTACACAGGACCAAACACTGGCTGGTGCCACACCACCCCCACTATCACGTATGTACTGTTGTGATCCATGGGGTTGTAAACAGGTGATTTTCAGAAGCCAATTGCCAGGCCTTTCTTCCTTGTCTTAGTCTAGAAGCTCCAATGAGATCTGTTTAGCATCATTGTGAAAAACCAGCCTCCAGTAGCAGAGCTGTGGTGCTGGAGAAGAGTATTGAGAATACCATGGACTGCTAGGAAAACAAACAGATTTGTCCTGGAAAGGGTTAAACCGGGTGGCTCCTTGGAGGCAAGGATTCTGAGGCTTCGTCTGACATACTTTGGACATGTTGTGAGGAGAGACCGGTCCTTGGAGAGGGACATCATTCTTGGGAGGGTGGAGGGACAGCGCAGGAGAGGAAGGCCCTCTATGAGGTGGATTGATTCAGTGACTGGGATAATCGGATGGGAGTGTCAGAGACAGTGCGATTGGCACAGGACAGAGCGGAGTTTAGGGCTGTTGTACACAGGGTCGCTATGAGTCTCAAGCGACTCAACGGCACATAACAACAACCAGTAGCAGATAAGGGCTAGGTGTGCACTGACTGGGCCTCGAACCTGGGTCTCCACGTGGAAGACAAGAATTCTGTAGTGAACCACACACTGCGGGCTTTGAATCATCCACACCCACCCTCAGAAACACAGTCCTTTCTGTGAACTTGACACCAGTCAGCTGACCAAGGTTCTTGAGCCTGTCCACTTTGGGGTGATGATCAGTCACCAGGCTTTTCTCTTGTGGCACCTCTGGGTGGGTTTGAACTGCCAGCCTTTTGCTTCAAGGCCCAGTGACTGGCCCTTTGCATCCCCCAGGAGGAATGAGGACTTTGAAGAAAGAAGTACATTTAATTGGACTATTATTGCACCAGAAAAGAGTCTGTCTTGGAACTGTCATCATCTGAGGAATGGCAGGGACTGGCAAACACAGTGACGAGGACTGAGCAATGACAAAGGAGGAGAGGACCAGAGTGAATAAGGACACCAGAGAACAGCTTCCTGGGAAGACAATGGAAACCAGGCTGCAGATGTGACATCCTGGCCCACATTTAACCCCGAGCCTTGCTTCAGGGGCTGGGGTCAAGCCTTGCTTCAGGAGCTGGGGTCCAGGTGGGGGTCCAGGTGAAGGTGCTGTCCCCACACCCACTCTCCAAATGCAGGCTTGTGAGTCACACTGTGAGTGAAACCCTAACTCAGCATTCTCTGTATGTGCCACCTGTAACCGCTCCAGCCTCAGTGTTTTCATCTGTGAATGGGCCCAGTGCCCAATGTTCTCAGACCACCGTGTCGCTCAGTCACCAAACGTGCTGTGTAACACAGAGGTGAGCACGGGAGCCTCACCCCTTTTTGGGGAGAGCATTTCACTTCCAGCTTCCCCCTCCCTACGTGGCCTTTTGTTGGAAATCTGATCTTCTCAGAAGATCACCCTTCTCCTACAGATCCCAGAAAAACAGCTGACCAATGGCCACGAGGCCCCAGCTCCAGCTCTGCCCGGTGACATCAATGTCCAAGGCCAGCCCTACTCTGGGATAGCACCACTGGACGCACCTAAATCTCTCGCCCCTCACCCGATCACGTGCCCCTTGTTCACCATATCTCACCTAAGACCCAGGCCCTCACCTGAGCACACTCACCCTGACCACCTGCAGTTCCAGGAGCCCCCTCCTCACCAGTCCTCCCGTGTGTACTGGCTGGCCCTCACCTGCCCGCATGTGCCACAGCTCACCTGTGTGCACAGGCCCCTTCCCTTGGCCAGGATCATCCCCTCCTCACATGAGCACCGCCCCCTCCTAAACCGTTACCCCCCCCTCACCTGCGCGGCCCCACTCGGCCCCACCTGGCCCGTCCCCTCCTCACCTGCGCGCACCCTCCTGGGCCCCAGCGCCGCACTCTCACCCCTGCCAACCCGTGCGATCGCTCTTCTACCGCCAACGCCGGGGGCGGGACCGCCCACCACCCCGCCTCCGGACTACGTAATGTGGCGGCTGGCCAATCAGAGTC